ATTAAGTCCCTCCTCCATTCCCCTCACCTCCTTCCTCCTAACTCACCCTCTCACCTCACACATCATTTTCACAATACAATCAGGATTACAATCAGGATTACAATCAGGATTACAATTAGGATTACAATTAGGATTTACAAAGACTTGATTTAAAAATCAAATTCAAAATCAAATCAAATGTGTATATGTGTATGCCTCACTGTGTAAACATGTACAGTATAAATTAATTACTGTTTCATATGTTGGTTACTAAAGTCTTTTTTATTTATTCAATGTATGTGTTAATCAACACTTTCATAAATAAAACAACCCATGGTATGAAATAGAAGATGTTTGTACAGATGGTGTTTTTATACTTGTCACACTGTAAACGTTCAATTCCATTACTTAGTTATGGTTTGACTGGACTGTACTTATTATCTCTTTATCAGGTATTTTCGTCCCCTCAAAGCTCTTTACAAACTACGAGTCATTCACCCATTCACACCTCATTCATGCAGAGCAGCACCACTTGCTCTTGGGAAGCTAACACTCACACACACACACACACACACACACACACACACACACACACACACACACACACACACACACACACACACACACACACACGCACACACACACACACACACACACACACACACACACACACACACACACACACACACACACATACACATACACATACACATACACATACACACACTCACACACCGTTGGCCATCTGGAGCAACTCAGGGTTCAGTATCTTGCTCAAGGACACATCGACAAGTTGACTGCACGGGCTGGAATCGAACCCCAAATGTAATTGTATTGACGGTAACATGGAGTCCTTCACCTCAATAGAGTAAAAGAACAAGAGAACGTGGAGATATGCCTTATGTGATTCAACAACACAAACATTTTAAACCTCAAAATCACCTAATTTTGGTATGGAAAATTGTAAATCTAAAAGAAAATACTCAAATACAATACTCCAAGATTGTGATTATAATGTTTTTCATCACAAATCTCTGCACCTCTGCACGATATGCATCTTTTGAATCTCCTTTTGCTCATAGTTTTTCTTTTCTTTCTTATCTGCTTCACCCTGTCTCTGAAGTTGGTGCAGAGGTAGGGGCAGAGCAAATATTGGACTTTCATTTGTCTTGTGGTCGCGTACACAACTCGAAGGAATGTTAATGTTGCTCTGTTTCTACTGACTGTGTAACAGTAACAGCTTGATGCAGACCGAAAACAACACTGCAAAAACCCACAATGGTTTATTCAGTGTTGCCTTAATCCAGTGGTTCCCCCCCTGGGGGGCGTGAGAGACCAGGAGGAAAAATGGTTATTACAAAAAAAAAAAAAAAAAAAAAGATTAAAAAAATATATATATATCATAATTTGAAAAATGATTGATTCGAAAATAATATGATACAGTACTATTACGTCTGGGTCTCTGTGTTTCATTAAAGCTCGGCTCTGTGTGTGTGTGGAACGAGCCATTTTGTGTGTGTGCGCGAGAGAGAGAGAGAGAGAGAGAGAGAGAGAGAGAGAGAGAGCGCACCGGTACCGGAGATCGTTGTTGTTAGCTTCTGGTGCTAGCGAGCTATGCTAACGAATATAAGTTTTGTTCAACAACAAAGTGGAGGAGAGTCCTCTCCTGTCAGACTGAGAGGCTCAGTGAGCTAAAGGACTCTCTCAGTGTTTAGATAGTTAACTTTAGTCTAAGTTATCTCAGTGGGTCTCAAACGTTTTGGTCACCATTAATGTAAACAATTATTTCCGAGGCACACGTTTATATGATCATTATAGTTATACAAAAATAAGAGAATAAATTAAAAACAGGTATGAAATACTATATGACAGTAAAACAAGAATAAAGTTTAAAAGGGTGATTTGTAAAATATCCATAAAGAAAAAGTAAATCTGTTTACAGTTCTGTTTCATATGGGTGTTGAGAGAGGTATCCATAGATCTCTTCATTTTGCTCTCAAAGTGCACCAGATTGATGCTTTTAACTTCAATATTTAAAAATCTTCCCGGGGGAGCTTGCCCCCGGACCCCCCTATGTGAGGTCCACACACCACCTATAAAAATAGCACTTTACCCCTGCTTACACCTATATGCCGTGAGCTGATTATCGAGCCTTCATTGTAACAGTCGCGGGTACATTGTGTATTTGCGTGGGGATTTTTGCAGTCGAAAATTCCACTGTAGCGACTGGTACATTAATGGGAAACCCTAAATGTTTGAGCACCCTCTATGAAACGTCAAGCTACCCCACAGCACCCCCAAAATAAATCTCTGGCGCCGCCACTGAGCCTGACTATTTGTGTTGGGGGGGGCCCGACTTTTTTTTTTCTCCAAAGGGGGGGCCTGACAGAAAGAGTTTGAGAACCACTGAGTTAATCACATGTGAGAGGTTGAACTTAGGAATGTCCACTTTGAGTAAAATGGATTGATGGACTTAAATAAAAAATGATCCTACACAAGCACCATTTGTTAACGCAGAACAAATAAGAGCATTTTCTGAGTTTAGAAAGTTCAACCTTGGCTGATAATAAATCCATAAAAACTGTTCAGCCCTTGAAGACAAAAAACATACAGTAATTTAAACCACCATTTTTGCAGCTTTTTAAAGAGATGTCCAAGTCTTAAACATCTTCCTACGGACGGCATCAAGGCCTGACCCCTGACTCTTTTTTATTATCTTTTTGTTATTCATTGTGTTCTGTTGCTTAGGAGCCATTATTTTAAAGTGATTTGAATAAAATATGACATGCAACACAGATGCATTGGCTGTCCATTGTCACGCCTTTTCTATACATCAAGGTTTCTGCAAAGGAGACACCTGTCTCCTCTTCACTTGGTCCATGAGATGCATTTTAGAAATTGAGAATACTTCAAAATGGAGTGCTAAGATTGATTTTCATGTCCCAGGCAGGAGGGTTGAAAAGATGAGGAGGAATGGGGACATGGCCATGGTGGTGGCTGTTTATCTTGGCGCTTTTTTTTTTCTATGCCCCCTGGTGGCAAACACTTGATTCATACAGCTTTAAGTAGACCTAAAAGCACAATAAGTACCATCTATATACCCCAATGCATCATATATTATTGTCATAAAAGTTAACCTTCAATTGAAAAGTAACAGCTGTCTGAAAAATGTAACAAAGCTAAATGTTGTGTAAGATGTTATATCAAGTTTGAATGTACAAAACATTTTCTTCCATGAAAATACAGTGCCTAATACAGAGTCAAAACTGGTAACTTTCAGCCTCTGCTCTTGATGCTGTGGGCTCGTCGCTGCAGAGTAACAATGATGATAGAGTTTGTACCCCATCATCTGGCCTCCTCCCTTAGTGGTACCACACGCACGCACGCACGCACGCACGCACGCACGCACACACACACACACGCACACACACACACACACACTCCCCACAGAGAGGGTCCATACGGCCATAATTACACTCCTGCCACAGCTATAGGAAGTGGGGCGGCTGTAGCTGGGAACAGCAAAGAGTCTCACAGCAGGTGGGGGGGGGGGGGGAAACGGCTCACTGAAGGGAGCTCAAAATCAACCAAGCAAGGGCCACCACGGGGCCTAATTACTGGGTGAACATAACTAATGATGAATCTGCTCTCTGCTGCGGCGCTGTCCGAAATGTGCAGCCCTCATCAGCCTCACAGTAATGTGTAGAAATGTAAAGCAGTGTATTACTACTGTGAATAGACTTCCCACAATGCATGCTGCTTAGTCTCTTTGAGGGTGATGGATGCCGCATGGACCTGCATGCTTTGTGTGGCTGCATGATTCATATAGTATAGAACATATTCAGGAGCCTCAGTTTGTACCACGTATTTTTGGTATAATGTCAGAAATTGAGGCAGCTCCTTTGTGCAAATTGGTGATTTGGAGAGGGGCCTATTTGCTGTTTACCTATTTGATATCTGCGAATGTGTCAGAGGACATGAGGGGTGAATAAGAGTGATTTCTTCAAAAAACGTTTCGCAAGAGAGAGGCAATCAATCTGTGTAGTGATCCTCTCCTTGGAGAATTCTTGGTAGTTGGTGGCTGTGACTAATGGGAGTTTCCCCCCGCCACACACACACACACACACACACACACACACACACACACACACACACACACACACACACACACACACACACACACACACACACACACACACACACACACAGCCACACACACACACACACACACACACACACACACACCATTGGCCACAGAATATATGGTAGAGCAGTTTCCCATGAATTATATGTTTGACAGGTTGAATATATCCTGGGTTTCCCAACGTTGTTCAATCAAGATAACGATTAAAGGGAAATGGATCTCCCCAGGGAGAGCGCAGCCTCACATACAGACAGGCTCTCAGAGATGAATATACAGTACTGTAGGTGTGGAAGAAAAACAAACGTCAGTTTTTACTGGCAAGATAAACGAGGAACAGTGCTGTAACTGAAGCTGTAGGAGTTTGAGGAGCTGTCCAGATGCTGAAAGAGCACCAGGCAGCCTTTCAATTAGTAATAAGAGCATGTGGCTCTGAAGGAACCGATGCAATTTTAGCACTTACTGAAAATAAACTATTCATTTGTTGCGTTTCCCCTAAATGTCCAGCTGGACGATGTATTAGAGCTGCTAACTTGATGCATGCAGAGAATCACCCCTCGGACCTTTCATAAACCAAAACGGCTTAAACAGGAGACAATTAACACGTTCCACACTATTATATCTATTTATCTGTTCTAAAGTAACAAGAAAGAGAACACACTCGAAGGTTAAGTCTTTATTCTCCCCCTTTGCTGCTAATTTATTTGGTGCAAAACACCGATCCGTACAGCAGAGCTTCACCTTGCCTTGAATCTGCAACGAGCTGTCAGTCGCTGCCCCGCATGTAGGAGAATGCAGACAGGAGGGGTGGAGTTCACAGCTTCTACTTTTCAGACGCTGCTCGGGCAGAAGAGCTCATTCTGTGCCTGGTAAACAGCGGAGTTGGCACTTATGCGTCCTGGCATGTGATCCCACTTTAGTTAAATCAATCGCCTCACTGCTGCAGCCTCCCATTAAACTTTCCATGCTGTTGCCCGTCCAGTGGACAGCACTTAGAGGGTTTGTCTGGACCGTATCCGCTCCTGCTCGCTCTTCCGCTGCTCTCCGTCTCTCCACCGCGGACTCTCCCGGTTCAGAGCGACTCACGCGGCTCGGGGAGCTGGCCCGGGTCTCCTGCACACATGGAGGGAGACGTAATGGACAAGGTGGAGGCCACGGCGACGGTGTGTGACTTCGATCCCATCAGTGGCAGCATCCCGGCCACCAAGGTGGAGATCACCGTGTCCTGCAGGTGAGTCCCCTCCGGTGCTGTGCCTCTGCGTCAGGGGCATGGGGAGCTCCGCGCGCTAGACGTGTGTGTTTGGCTGTGCCACCGTTTTAAGTAATGTGTCATTTTAACATTTAGCTGCTGAAAAGACTAAAACATGTTTAACATTTTAAAGAATAAAATAACTTTATTAAACGGTAAAATGACTGAAGTCCTCATAGTGATCATTGCTCTTCTGCTTAAACGATCCGATAGACCTCATTGGAACATTTAACCATTTGAGTGACTTTTCGTTAGAAATGTGAATTAAAAAAACACCTAATCAGCAAAGCACAAAGGGATGCCTTCAATATAATTAGGAAAAAGCAAACTTTTATGCCTTTGGTTAGTTTTTCCCGTTTATTATTGTTTTGTACCTTTCGATGTCTTTGTCAGTGTGTGGGTCTTCTGCGCTGTGTGTGTGTGTTTGGCGCGCGCAGGGTCGCGGTCCACATGAGATTGCCATCGTCAGAGTTTATTCGCGTGCAAGAGGTTTCCCCTGAGACAACTTGTCGTGCGTGGAGCCATGTTCAGCTTCACTGGCTCCAGAAACCACAATTGTTTGTAAAAGAAACGTAAAAACACCAGTTTGAATTACATATGTTTGTCCTCAATGTCCATTAGACTTTAACTCAGTCCCCTCCCCCAAGACCTCAAAAATACCACGAAGATTGCAAGTGCCTCGGATAATAGATGGGGTGGGGCAGCGCAGGTTGCGAGTCACAGTATAGTCTGCTGCAACATGCAGTATTCTGTCTTCACTGGTACAATTGCAATTAAGGTCTCTCATGGAAATGGTTAATTTGTGTCCGAAGGCACCTTCCTGTGCGTAATTTTACCATAATCCACAATGTTTAGCTCTTTGTAGCTCCGGGCAGCATCAGAATTATGTGCATGTAAACGGTGTTTTCCCATATGCATTGCTGTTGAAAATGCTATTGAGATTTCAGATGTTAATGTTGTTAAGCCACAGGCAAAAGGTTTTTCAACAAACACCTTGCTATCATCATTTTCTTCACTATATCGTTTGACTTCTATTGATAATCTGCATTTACTCAAGAGGGGACATTTTGGAGAGGAGACTGATTGTCTTTTTTTAATATTTTTTTTTTATAAATGTCATCCATTTTAAAATTCTAAAATTGTTCAACAAACCCAACATTGCTGTAGCCATGTAGGAGACATTTTGTATATTAATTAATTAGTCACATTTCAGAAGGAATCTGTTAACCTTTACAGAGTTGACAGGGAGAATGGTGCAGCCCTGGGGAGAGAGGGGCTGCTTAGAACAAGACGGCAAGCATTAGGGCTGCAACTAATCGTTATTTTATATATGATTCATCTGCAGACAATTTTCTAGATAAATCAATTAATAGTTTCAAATGTCAGAAAATAGTGAAAACTTAAAATGTATAGTTTATTTTGTCCAAACCCCAAAGTTATTCAATTGAAAAGTATGTAAACCAGAGAAGAGCAATACATCTCAATAACTGTGAGGCGGAAAACCCAATTTTCTGCCATTTTTGCGATTAATATGATGAATTGTGCGAGAACATTTTTCTGCTGATTGACTCACTTGCACCTTTAATCAGCACTTCAGGATCTTGTGTTATGTAACAACGTGTTTTCGTTATGGAGCTTATCGTGTGTGTTTTCTATTGTGGGGCATGTTTTCTGAGAAGCAGCTTGTGTTGTTTCCCTGGTGGTACACAGACCTTCATACTCTGAGCTGGATATGTTTGGATGCCCCCCGGCTCTGTTGATCTGCTGCTCCCTCAACTGTCATTAATGTCTCTCCAAACAAAGACTTGCTCCAGGACAGAGTATGATATAAGAGAATCCCTGCTTTCTTTGGTCCTTGAAACATTGTCTGCTTTTAACGGCAAAGACTTCAGGTCCTGCATTTTCTTCTTTAGAACTTGCTGCAGCATGTCATGGCTGACCTTTGAGGATTGCTGCAAAGATCAAACACTGGACAGCTCAAAAGTTGAACACTTACCAAATAAACAGCTATGCATGACGTCATTTATCCCACTTATTAGCAAGTGTGTCTTTGGTCCATCAAGGAGCAGCTAACAAAAACAATGGGTGTTATTTGGGTGAGAGGCACAACTCTGTGTAATTGATTTAGTAAGCCTGTGAGCTTGGAGATTGCATAGCACATGGAATTGAATTGCGGCCTTCAGGCATTCCCATAACCCTCTGCCAATATAACAGCAAGCCCCCCTGACAAACTGGAGGGACTGAAGCAGACAACCTCTTATCAAAACAAGTGCATATCGCTATGATAGCACATTGTTCTCAGTCTATGGCTCTGATTGGTTTTCCTCACAGGTCAGCCACTGAGCCGAGCCGAGACCAGAGCATCTGCTTCTTAGCAGAGAGAGCTACACTCCAACTCAGCGATAAGATGGCTCTTCAATATCAAGTGGCCTCTTTTCCTACATCTGCCTTAACAAACACATGCCAGGCAATGCAGTTCAGTGGTTTAGGGCCAGTGGTCCCCTGGTGCTTTTACAGACCTGATCGCACCTCTTACGTGGCAGGAATGAGTGTGTTCATTTGTTAATATAGAAGCGGCTCTGATACATATTTCAGAAGTTGTATATGTGGTTTGCTATAGATCATGCTTTAATTATGAGCAAAGTAGTACATGTGAACCCTGCTGGATGGTAAACTGTTTCCTTTCTACTTCCCTGCTTAGCTGACCGTCTCAGAGTTCCCATGTAGACTTAAGGGAAACTGAGGCTTCTGCTCTGTGGTTCCTCTGTTCCGCACACTTACTGTAAGTGTTGGAGAACATTTGCACAAATTACAAAGCCCTTAAAGGCTTGACGCATGGATATTCTTTTAATTAATTGATTTTTTTTTACACCCCCCACATAGGTTTACACCCCTTATCAGAATAGAGCAAGGTAAAAATATTGTCATGCTCTTGTAAGATACGTTGTTGGCATCCCATTTGTTAAAAAGCACCCATCCAGAGGAGATTGAGGGAGAAAAACAAACAGAGCTGTTTGATGGATAGCCCATATGTCAACGCTGTCTCATTGTAAGTACATGAAAGTCCAACGAGACCACTAAGCACAAGGACATATCATGAATTTCTATTGTCCTCCCACTTAAAAACACGTCAACAGAAGGTGTATTATAGGAATATATTGGTCCATTGCTATGGCAAACGCACCACAGGTATGCAGTTAAAAGTGAAATGAGCTGACAAAGCCACCCTCACTTCTTCTGCGCTCAGCCTCCCACCTGACAGCTTGACATTCAAACTTTATCAGTCCCCACTGCCCATTTAATCAGGACCAAGACAATGCACCTTGTCCTTCTCCTGTTCTCTGCTGTTGCGTTAGCGCTCGCTGTAAACATTCATTTGCTGTGATAGATTGGTTAGAGTAGCACTGCATCCAATCAATGCACTCCATTGCTCGGGGGGATCTAACTCAAACAGGCCACCCCGCTCCAGAGGGATTCATTACCTGGTGAAACACACGAGAGGTCACATGACTACCGGCATCCTGTGACAAATGCTCGCAGGAGTGGATCCCGGGTGCACAAGGCCACTGATTGCTGTTCCCATGGGTCGATCCTAAAACGTGGAATGCATTTTGATCTGAAGCAAGAGGGGGGGGGGGGGCCTGCCTAATGAAATCATCGGCACGATTAGGATGTGAGTTGTCGCTGCTCAATCTGTCAAAAACAATTTCCTGAGCAGAGCTATTGGGATTCAAGCTGTGTGAAAACCTTTTGTTTATTCAAATGCGTTGTTATGGCCTGTAACTCTGCTGTTGTTGTTGTGTTAATGGCTGTTGTTCTCATTTAGTTTTGGTTACCCACTCAATCAAAGCCTGTGACCTGGTTTTTGCGGTTAACCGTCCTTTTTTTCTCTGTGGCAGAAGCAAGATTGAATTGAGTTTGCATTGTGCAAGAGCATGAAATATTGAAACAAGATCTCTTTGAATGAGAAAGATATTTTAATTAAGATAATTTTCTGTGCGTTTTTTTGTGCCGCTCATTTAATTTTGTGTTCTGGGTTAAGACTGACCTGAGGCAAGCTCGCAGCTTTTATCTTGTAGGATGACTTGTGTGTGTGTGCTATGTGTGTGCTGCGTGTGAAAGAGAGTGATGTGTCACATCTGTTTTGGGGATCGAGGCTGAGCGGCACACAGGTGCCAAGGGGAGGTTGATTTTTTTTAATTCCAATTTAGGGATGTTAAGATTGGAGCCGGCGAGTCTCACAGGTCGATGAAGCGGATGATTATGCATGAACCCCTGACACAGTGAAAATGAGTTTGGATACCAGACACTTGGCTTGTGGTGGTGTCGGTGTTATTAATATATTCTCACATGGGATATATGACAGCAGAGGGGGATCCCATAGATACACTTTGTGGTGTCATGCCGGTGCTGTATCACACGCCGCATGTTGCTTGTGTCATCTCAAAGTGTTGATTAGAATGACAGGGAAAGTCAAGAGGCTGGTGCAGCAATAATAAATCGTAGCAGTCCCTCTTGGCTCTGAAGTGTCAAGCTGCTTCTGTCACTATTTTGAGAGGACCTTAAGGGTCAGCAGACTGTGTTGGAGGATTTCTGTAACCAGGGATATCTGACCCAACATCACAGCTTGTCTGGACAATGTGCGAGCTGCTAGCAGATTTGTCCAAAGTGTGCCAGGTCCCTCTGTAAAGATTTCAGCACATTATGTTGCCTATGTCAAAGGACTCTACCATGGTGACAAGCTGCAAGCCGAAACAAGCTACTCATTGTCAGATTATTCTCATTTCTGTACTTCTTGAGATAGTGTAGTGGAGGTGTTATAAAGAAACCAAAAGGGGTGTGGATGAGAATGTGTCTGCTATAATGTAAATGTGGCTGAAACATTTGATAACTAAAATACTATACATTTTCACAGTAGGGACATGGACTATCATTCAAATTTGTGAATCGAACAAGACTAACTTGACTTTTTAAATGTAGAA